CTGGAATAGGGGACACCCCAACATACTCAGCTGGGGGGACCTGGGGGGGTTCCCCAGTCTTGGGGACACCCCAATATCCCCGTGTGGGGGGTCTTTGAGACAGGGGACACCCCAATATCCCCAGCTGGGGGGGTCCCTGGGATAGGGGACACCCCGCCCCCCACAGTGGAGGGGTCCCTGGAATAGGGGACACCCCAGCATACTCAGCTGGGGGGACCTGGGGGTTTCCCCAGTCTTGGGGACACCCCAATATCCCCGTGTGGGGGGTCTTTGAGACAGGGGACACCCCAATATCCCCAGCTGGGGGGGTCCCTGGGATAGGGGACACCCCAATATCCCCAGTGGGGGGGTCTCTGGAATAGGGGACACCCCAACATACTCAGCTGGGGGGACCTGGGGGGTTCCCCAGTCTTGGGGACACCCCAATATCCCCGTGTGGGGGGTCTTTGAGACAGGGGACACCCCAATATCCCCAGCTGGGGGGGTCCCTGGGATAGGGGACACCCCAATATCCCCAGTGGGGGGGTCTCTGGAATAGGGGACACCCCAGCATACTCAGCTGGGGGGACCTGGGGGTTTCCCCAGTCTTGGGGACACCCCAATATCCCCGTGTGGGGGGTCTTTGAGACAGGGGACACCCCAATATCCCCAGCTGGGGGGGTCCCTGGGATAGGGGACACCCCAATATCCCCAGTGGGGGGGTCTCTGGAATAGGGGACACCCCAGCATACTCAGCTGGGGGGACCTGGGGGTTTCCCCAGTCTTGGGGACACCCCAATATCCCCGTGTGGGGGGTCTTTGAGACAGGGGACACCCCAATATCCCCAGCTGGGGGGGTCCCTGGGATAGGGGACACCCCAATATCCCCAGTGGGGGGGTCTCTGGAATAGGGGACACCCCAGCATACTCAGCTGGGGGGACCTGGGGGTTTCCCCAGTCTTGGGGACACCCCGATATCACCATCTGTGGGGTCCTTGGGACAGGAGACACCCAATATCCACAGCTGGGGGGGTTCCTGGGGTGTCCCTAGGACAGGGGACACCCCGATATATTAAGCTGGGGGGGGGGGGCGGGAGCCGGG